TTGTGTGCCTTGGTCTGCCATGCTCGCCTGCTCCCCTTCAGGCTGCTACCTCACATCGGAGCGCTCACGCCAGGTCAGCCCAGGCCCATATGCTCTGGTGTCCTGTGAACACCAGCAGATGCATATGGGCAGTATGAAACCAGGCGAGCAGGTATGAGACATCTCCAGTACTCCACCTCGCTGAGCCACCCGTGGAGTCTTTGTGCCTAAGAGCCCTCAGGGACTTCTCTTCCAGCAAGTCGTTCGCTTTCTGCGGCCACGTCAATGCTCAGCATCCACCATGCTCTGCAGCACAGAACCCTGCAGCTTAATCAGGCTGCCCAGCTCTCCGGCCTCATCTCTACCACCCCAAACGGCTCTGGGAACACGCTGCTCAGCGTAAGACCCTGCAGAACTTTGCCGTTATCCACGCGTTCATTAATTCTCTTCCTTATTCTACCTCCTACTCGCTTGCACATCTGGGTTACTAGCCTGCAGTTCCTCGGACCACCTTTTAAACATCAGCACCATATTTTAAGTAGGACGTTTCACACCACAGCCAGCGGTTTGGTGACGTTGCCGGAAGTGACGCCACCTGTGCCCAACAGTTCATTGCCATTCACTTAGTCACTTTGGTCCCTAACCTCTTCTCCCACCATTTCAACAGGAGACAAATCCTCCAAAAAGCCCCCCCCAAAAGCCTTCCATGTAAGAACCCCTCCTGCTCTTCCACGGTGAAGAGGGATGTAGCAGCGCTTCATTTGCCTGCCACAGTGCCATCGTTTGTCCTTTCTTGGGGCCTCTGTCCGCAGGGAGACAGAGAATGGCACGCTCCTCGCTCGCAACATGCTTGCAAAAGGCTTTATTTTTAGCTGTCGGGCCTGCTGGACGTTGCTCCTGGAGCCTGCCTCCCCGGCTTTCCACATAGCTGCGAGGCACGGCAGGTGCCTCAGGCCTCGAGGACCCACCGCACCCACGCATACGGTCACGCAGGTGGAGCCGGCAGCCCCACGGGAGGAGGGCAGTGAGGCAGCCCTGTGGGGCTGCCCACCCGGACGGC